TGACCATTGAACCCTAATCGTCACTAAAATTCCCAATTCTGACTCAGAAACTCAGCTCGCATTCTTTTATAATGACCAGATCATTTGGAAACATCAATCAACTGTCAAACCATCACGAGCTAGAAAACCATTTCCACGCAAAGACTTGCGCAGTTCGCTTTATGCAGAATCACGCATGCGCACAAGTCTCATTTGCCTTATTTCTCTCGATCGAAGAAACAGAGTCGAAACCATTTACTTTCCAAATTTTAGATATGGTTCCAAAATTAACTGGCCAAAACAAAACGACAAGAGCAATATAAATTATTACATACAAAGATCATAAATTACATTAGCATATATACAGAAAAACTTAGACCAAAGGTTATGTAACAAGTACAAGCATGGATTGTTCTGAATAAAAGGGAGACTCTAGATCTCCGGAGTCGGCCTTTGTCCTTAAATTATGTTATAGAATTATCAAAAGATAATATCATAGGATAGCTCAGCCAACCTGATTGCTCCATTTGTGGAACTTCGTTTACAAGTAGAATTCCACTACAACTCAATAAAACAGGGAAAATGTTTTCTATTTCGGTAATGTCAATCAAATCATCTTGTGTTTCAGTGAGTCAAAGAAACCAACAAATGAATAGCTAATCTAGAAAATGAAAACCTCCTTATTTCAACAGCGATTTACGTCCTAAGACGGACAATAATAAGGTTATTTTCTTTACTAAAAAGGCGAACGTTTCATAAGTCAGCCATAAACTGTTCAGTCTTCTTAGCTTATACACGGGATTCAAGGTGGCTGGCAACAGTTTCCAGCATTTTCAGCACTTCTTCTTTGTTGGATCAATACTACAATTCTTTTTCAACAATTAAGGTAGGTGTGTAGGTAAAACCACGTGGCTCATCAGGCCGGAGCTTACCTCCTGTTTCAGTAGCAAAAAGTGACTTGAAGTATTTCTACTCCCCCCTGGATGAGATGCTAGTCCATTGCAGGGTTACCACCAGCAATAAATTCACCGGTACCCATTTATACACCTGGGTGGAGAGAGGCACTGTGAGAGTAAAGTGTTTTCATCAAGAACACAACGCAATGCCCCAGGCCAGGGCTCGAACCCGGACTTCTCGATCCGGAGACAAGCCGCACTAACCATGAGGCCACCGCGTACTCCCACAACAACAATGGCAGCAAATAATGCCCAAAAATTTCTTTTTAAATTGTTTGGCCAATCCCCTTATAATCTGACGTGTCTATGGTAAGCAGTGTTGTATCCAAGTTTAGTGTTTCAAAATTTTAAATTTATGTTCTGGAGAGATTTTGTATTTTGTAGCGATCTTAATGATCAAATCTTTCCAGTTTGTTAAATCTTCATATTCTTTTTGGATTTGTCTATATCAGTTTTTCAGTTGTTCTTGCATTTCTGAAAAAAAGTATTGAAATCTAACATTTTTTTTTTTAATTTAACATTTTATTTATTTCTTTAGTGTAGGAAAAAAGAAGTAAAAAAGAATTGAAATCTAACATGGCAGATCCAAGATGGCGGAAGATGACATCATTAAGGTGTATAACAACGAAAATGTCACTTGATTATTTGCAAGTTCCGATGCCTTACGAGCCTATTGAGTGCACTCTTTTGGAAAAA